GAGAAAAAGTTCAAAGGCGCTATTTAGTTATGAATTTAAAGGAGCTGCACCAATTGTATTGTGAAGAGGGTGCCAGCAAAAATGTTAAACTAACTAAATTTTGTAAACTAAGGCCAAGATACATTCTTACATGCAAAAACGCACCACTTGAATCATGTGGTTGTGTTTATCACAGTAATTTTACTTATTTGTGTGCTGCTTTGGCAAGTAAAATACATTTTCCATTGTATTGTAATAAATGGTTAGAAAAATATGTATTGTGTAAGCCACCTACATCCCAATGTTGGATTATGAAATGTTCGTTATGTAGTGATTGTAAATTATTCAACGTTTCTTTGCCAGAAAACGGAGACATGAATACATTCATCACCTATAGTTGGTGGATAAAAGATGATCATCGCTGTGTACTCAGTGAACATAAAAAAACATAACAGACGTCTATAAACACTTTTGCGACTATTTACCAGAGTTTATTGAGCATCATCTCACTAAAAAGCACCAGTCTGAGCAATACCGTAGTCAAAAGGAAAATCTCAAACCAGACCAAATTTTGATACACTTTGATTATTCACAAAACTATGTATGTGGTTATCAGGATGCTGTTCAAGCTGCTTATTGGTCGCAGTCTAGTATTACTTTGTTTACAGTTGTTATCTATCGTTACCAATTAGAGCCAAAATCAGTTGTAATAATATCCGATGATAATGATAAAACAAAGCGCTCCACTACTACTTACTTAAGTGAAATATTTGACCTCTATTGCATTGATTATATAAAAAAAGTTATATTATGGAGCGATGGCCCTTGCACTCAATTCAAAAATCGTTACATGGCCAAATTCATACAACATTGCTCTGTGAAATATCATTTTCAATCTATAGAGTGGAATTTTTTCGTTACCTTTCACGGTAAAGGAGCAGTTGATGGTGTAGGAGGATCATTGAAGCGATTTGTTTGAAACAGAGTAAAATCTCGTGAAGTTATAGTTTAAAACGCTAAAGACTTCCTTTTAGCATCAAATGGGAGCAAAACTTATGCTAGACTAATCAACGCAGACATTAATCTAAGGTGGGCCATTATAGCTGATCAAATTGAAGAAGCGAAAGCCGTTAAAAATATTACCAAAATGCATTTTTGGCAAGTCAAAAATGGAAAGTTTTTGATTTCAAAGTTGTCGAATATTTTTCACGGGTTTTAACAATTTTAAAATTAATATTTTTTTACTGAAAGAACTATTTTATAAGCTTATGTTGGGACCAGGGAACATTAAGAGCATAAACCATTAAAAATTTAGTAAAGTAATAAAGTATAAATAAATATTTGGTACAAAGCCAGGTTTTGGTTGCTTATTCCAAATTAAATGAACCAAGTATCAAAAAACCATAACTGAGAACTTCGATAATGTTATAAAATTCATACTTTTACATAGTTTTTATAAGTTTACATGGTTTTTATAATTATTCATCTTTTTTTTTTTGATTGCGTTCTTTTATTTGTTGTTTTTTAAAATTAGATTTTTGGTTACAACCATCACGGTTACGACCGTCACAGTTACGACCGTCACAACATAAAAAATACAGAAATGTTTGTAAAAGTTCAAGTAAAAACTATGAAACTCTGCATATAATAACATCAATATGTGCTAAATGCACACAGCAAATGATTTTTATTTTTACCATGTCGTTCGCTGCATTTAGTCTGGCAGAGTTGTTTTGTTTAGAAGCGATAAAAAGTAAGCGTTACGACCATCACGCTTCGCCGAGTTAATTTTTGAAAAAAGTTTAAGACTTCCATACTGCAACTTTTGCTTACTAAATTATATAATAGTATTCCATATTTCTGGAAAGTTTCAAGTTGTCTCCATTTTGGGTTCATTTTTAATAGCTTAAAGAACGTCAGATGTTATATATATATATATATATATATATATATATATATATATATATATATATATATATATATATATATATAAACTATATTTTTTAATGTTATTGCTATTTTTTAATGTTATTGCATATATATATATATATATATATATATATATATATATATATATATATATATATATATATATATATATATATATATATATATATATATATATATATATATATATATAAATATATATGTATATATATATATATATATATATATATATATATATATATATATATATATATATAAATATATATGTATATATATATATATATATATATATATATATATATATATATATATATATATATAAACTGTAGTTTTAAAGAGCGCATTAAAAAACCAGACCAGAAAAAGTTTAAAAAATTAAATTTTTTTTTTTTTAAATGATAGACTGCCTGCCCAAACCAAACCCTCAGTCGATGTAGCAGCACTTCCTTGCGAGTCAGGCTATTTGTCAGTCGTTGTAGCAGCACTCCCTTGCGAGTCAGGCTATTTGTCAGTCGATGTAGCAGCACTCCCTTGCGAGTCAGGCTATTTGTCAGTCGATGTAGCAGCACTCCCTTGCGAGTCAGGCTATTTGTCAGTTGATGTAGCAGCACTCCGTTGCGAATCAGGCTATTTGTCAGTCGATGTAGCAGCACTCCGTTGCGAGTCAGGCTATAAGATAGTCGATGTATCAACATTTACGCATGTTTTAAAAAATGTTTTTTAATAAAACAAAAACAAAAACACCACTAATAAAAAAAAACTTTCTAGTCGTTATAATTGCGGTTTTTTAAAAAAACAATAAAATTTAATGTACTTCCGCATAAATTTAATTGCTTTGACATTTTGATGACAATCAAAAACAGCTTAAGAGACGAGGTAATTAAAATTGTAGTCGAAAGAGACTTTTTTTACATTAAAACGCTCTTTCGACTACACTATATGGATATATATATATATATATATATATATATATATATATATATATATATATATATATATATATTATTTAAAATATAAAGTATCTAGTGCATTTAAAATAAAATATATCTTTAACAAATATTACCAATTTTATGAAATGCTGATAAAAAAAAAAAGCAAATTTATTAAACAATTTCTTTTAAATATATTTTGACATTAATAAACTTGATAAGTTCAAATGAGCAGTATAAGAATTTCATTAGAAACCATTTTAAAAAACTGTAAAAATAAAATCAAAAGCTGAAAAACCTTAATAGCTTTTAAAGTTATTTACAGATAATTTTATTTAATTTGAAGCTATTTATACTTTCAGTTTGAATTTTTTTTAAATATAATATAAAATTTAAACTTTATAAACTATATATTCTAAAAACAAAAGAACTTTTTAATACACAATATTTTCATAGATTTTTGGTATTTTCATATACTAATCTTGTATAGACATGGTTAACCAGATGACTGATTTCTTATTTTCCAGGCAACTTATTTGCAAATTACTTTTTAGTTAATAAATTAGTAAATTAAATAACTGTTTCAACAAAAATAAATATTTAATTTACAAACTAAATAAGTATATTGATAATTGCATTTTAAAGATGTCAAAAAGTTGTTAGAGCAAAAACTAACATCACATAACTTAATTGTTGTTACATTGCATAACATTTCTACTAGAATTAAGATACCTAGATTAAAGTCTCGACAAAAATGATTATAAAGCTAAAATAAATTTTCAAAATTATAAAAAACAATAATAATTGTGATAACTGTTAAGAAAATTTTAAGATTTTGAAAATACTAAAAATACTAAATATTTGAATTAATAATTGCAGTTTGATAATGCAGTTTAAAAAACTTTTAAATCTATTTCAGTAAAACCTTATTTTAGAAATTAATGTAATATTATTTTAAGAACAATTTCTTGAAAAAATAAAAAGAATATAAATAAATAAAAACTGTTAAATAGCATAAATAAAGTATTATAAAATTAGATAAACTCAAAAAACAAAAATTTCAATCTTTAATTTTGCAAAATTTATGTGGATAAACCAATTTAAAAAATGCTTCAACTAATTAACAAATCATGTTACTTAATATATAGATAAATTTTCAATAACAAATTCTTGAAATTGTGCAAAACAGTAGACACTATTATCAAACCTTTATCATTGGGATCATTGTCTATTAACTCAATGCTATAGGGATAGCTAAACTGGAATATATAGAAATAAGTGTAGTGGACTATACTTACATTGACTGACTTGAGTAAGAACTGGTGCAATGAGTATACAAACATTGACTGAGGGTTTTGATTTAAGCAGGTAGTCTTTCAAATGAGAGGATATTTTTTTTAGGTTTAATGCATTTATATATTTATGGACCTCCTAATCAAACACTTATGATAAAATAATGCATAATTGGACCTTTTTAGAAAAATCACATATGGCCTTTATAAACTTAAATAAATTAATTCCAGTGAATGTTGATGCCACTGCCATTATATATCATTTAATAGTGCATAGTGTTTGACCTAAATTAATAATGCAAAATCATCAGTGTCAAACAACTTTAAAAATTTTTAAATTTCTTTTTTCTTTTTGCAAATTTAAGTATTTTTTTTTTTTTGCAAATTTAAGTATCTGGTACACATAATCAAAATTACGATACAGATAATGCAGATATAAGATGAGAGGCTAAATGTTTACATACCTGTGCAAGTATTCTTATTAGAGAACATAAAAGATGCTCAGTTAGGTAAAAACACTGTTGCCTATAACTTACTGCCTTTGGTTATATGTTGAGACTCTATGGTCTAATTTTAATGTAAAAACAATGTTAAATATATATAGCAACTCAATTGCAAGTTCTCTCTATATCATGTATGTATTGAAGCCTATTTCAATATAAGTCAGTTTGCTGACCAAGTATGCTGTTAGATTTAACTTTTAAAACTGTCAAAATATAGACATATTTTTACATGAAACTAAGGTTTAATTTATTTTAAATTTTATACTAAATCTAAACAAAATTATAAAGAACATTTACAAAATAAATTTGATTGATTTAGATGCTATAAAAAAAGAAATCAAAATAATTACCATCTGAACGTTGAATATCAACCTGCACACCAATCTCAAGCTTCATTTTATTCACTTTCCCATTCATAAAAATTGTCAATTTAAATTAATTAAATCTTTATTTTATTTTTAGCAAATTATACTAAAAAGATATGTTAAATTTAGATTTCTAACTTTAAAAGAATTTTGTTAGAGCTGAATAATGCTTTTTTATATTTGTTAAAATAAATTTTTAATATGCTTTTGAAAATTTAAAGATTTTCTGAGTTAAAATTGAAAAGTCTTTACTTTAAAAATCTTTACTTAACATAAAATTATTATCAAAAAGACTTTTATCTAAACATCATAAATCGTAAACTTTATAGTATTATTGTAACATTTATGAAATAAACTTTAAATTGAAGCACAAAAAAGGTTACATAAGTTTTTATAATAATTTTGTAAAACACTTTATACATTGAAATTTAGATTGAAAAAATAAAAAATAAATTTAAGAATTTAAAATTAGGATAAACTTGAATCTTTTAAAAATAAACAAAAAAAAATTATAAGTTTAAATTAATACTGATGAGAATTAAACCGACTGGTAACAAGCCGCCATCTTTTAAATTAAACAAATATCGAAATATTCGTTCTTCAAATTATTCTTAATTCAGCGTAAAAATATATTAAGAAAAAATTTTTTTAGTTTGTTTTCGAAACGAAACTAATTAAGTTTTGTCATTGTTGTTTGAATGTTTTACTCATTTGAACTGTTGTTATAATTACAATGAAGATCAAGTTTTAGTAATTCTCCAGACCACGGATTTGATTCCATTCCATTTTCTGGAGCATTCTTGTCCAGTAGCGTCCAAAGACGTCCACAAGACAAGAGGATACTGATACAGTACAAATGATTTTAGGATAGATATCATACTTAAAGTTTCTAGTATACTTATGCTAATAAAAACTTATAATAATTTTGATTGATACCAACCATTTACTTTAAAGTAACAAAAAATAACTGAGGAGCGAATGGTTTTAAACTAGGTCACGGTTAGGATTCTCAGATTTTCAGTGAACTGGGACACAAATAAAAACAACAAAAACACGATATTTATTCTCCTTTTATAAATCATACAATAATATTATAATAATTTTTATAAGCACTTTTTTTTTATTGTTCCCCCAAGTTTTGGCTTTCTCTGTATATGGAATTAAGCAGAGATTTCACTGTTTATTATTGTGAGCTTACTGAAAGAGCCATTTAAACCAAGATTGTATAGAAAATGCGAAGTAAAACACAAAAAGAAGGATATATTGACTGAAGACCTTCTTGTAGATAATACAGACCTAAAGTTACAACTTAAATAAAAAACCATCGCGTTTTTTATTTCAAAAAGTCAAAATGGGATTCCTAAAAACATGTTCTTTAAGGTTGTTAATTTTACTTCTTTTTTAGAATTCTTTAAATTTTAGATATTAATAAACCTTAAAACAGTTATAATTCTATTAAACCTTTAATATGCATGTTTTTTTATTTAATATAATTTATATTACTTTAAATTAACCATTTAGACACCAGTGCTAAAAAACAAAGCGAAATATTAGCAAAAACTTTTAAATTAATTGTTTAAGTATACTTACTATTTTATCAAAATTTAAACAAAGTCAGTGTGATTTTGAGGATTTAATTTTGTTAGTCTATAATAGGTATTTTTGATCAGCCCAGGACCCTTGTATACAATAGGGTAGGACCCCTTCCCCTACTGTAGAGCCTTCTACCTCAACATAGAATAAAAGTCCTTATCAAGATAAATCCGGTTCTGAGTTATTAAATGACAGGGTATCAAAATTAGTTTTTAGTTCTCATATATGAATTAAGTTCTGAATTATGCATAATTCAGAACTCGCAAATAAAAAACGCCGTGTAGAATTCTACAACTCAAAACTAAAAATTTAATCTGGGCAATGTAACTGTACAGAGTTACTGAACTGACCTTACTAAACAGAAAATTCAGGATACACAAAAAACATAAGCAGCAAAAAAAAAATAATAATAATAGAAAAACACAGATTTAAAAAAATGTTTAATATGCGACTCTATGGAGGCCACCATATGTAATAAAATATTTCCGTTGTCTTTTGAGCTGTATCCATATAAAAAGGTTGAAAAATACCGGAACTTTTCTAGGAAATTTTGATGAAAAATTTCGGAAATTTTTGAAAATATTTTTATTGCAATAAACTTTTAGAGTTTTATAAAATTTGTTTCTTTGTTTCAAAAATATGCGTTTTACCATCGGTATTCTTTAAATATTTCAACCATAAATACATAATAGAAAAAAACTCACAATCGAAAAATGCTCATCTTTTAGTCAATTTTTGTAATAAAGTTTATTAATTTAAGAACCACGCACTTTTATAAAAAAGCAATAAAACGCTCAAGTTGCTATATGTTACTTTGACGTATATTATTTTTATGAAACTACGAAAAGTAGATACTTTCTGTGTTAGCCTGTCTTTTAAGCTTGTGTTTAAAAAAATACTAAGAATAAAATCTTTTTTAGATTTACAAATTTCATTTAGCATTATATTTGTAGTGTTTTAAAGAAGCAAAGATTTTTAGTGGATAAAGATTGCATTTAAAATCTTAAAAAAGATTTTTATGTATAAAGATTGCATTGAAAACATTTTTATAAAAGGTACATATTATTAATGTAAATAATATTAAAAAACACTAGCTGTGTTAGGTTATTATAATTTATCTAAAAACGACATTAGAAAACTTATTTAATCTGAATTTTCAGTAAAATAATAACAAATTATCATGCTCGGTATGACACTTAAAAACACACACTCAGAAATCATCCACTTGGCAGTATTGGTTGAAAAATACAGTATACATTTAAACCATTTTAACGTATGAAATAATTTTTTAATTTATTGATTTATAAAGTCAAAAGTGCTCTAGCAAGGTTGTGGTGAGTAAGTCTTAGATTATCGAGTCTTAAAAGCACTTATCTAAACATAGGAATTTATGACCTCGAAATCATTATTTTTATAGCTAAGTATATTTGCTTTATTTTTATTGCTAAGTATATTTTTGAATAGCTCAAATTTAAAAGAAATGTTTTTTGACTTTTTGCCTTTCATTAATCAATAACGTCGTTAAATCAAGAAAAATTGTAAAATACTGTAAAAATTCAATCATGTTTTTTTATATACAATTTTACAGTTTTCAGTAACTTGTAGGTCAATTTAAAAGGCATTGAAAAATGTCCCTTCTCCTTTAAGGATGGGGGTGCAAATTGTGTTTAGTCTTAAACATAGTTTAAAAAGCCACGGCCTTGAACGTGATATGCTTAGCAAATAACAGAATAAAACAATTTTATAAATTTTGAAAACAAATGATCATAGTTGCTACTTATAGTTACAATAAAAAAACTCAACAAAATACCAAAAAAAGTGTTTTTTCAAAGATTTTTATAATCTGCTTCACAATATTTTACCATAAAATTGTCCATAACAATTGCCTAAATAAGACACAAAATTTTACCCATTAGTTATAAAATAACTTATCTCTTTTTAAAAAAATTTCCAAAATTTTCCAAAATTTCCGGGAAATTTTCCGGATTTAAAAGTTCCCGGAAATTTTCAGTCCTAATCTATATTGCTTTTTATCTGCTGGAGAAGCGGGTCAAGAGCAACATTAAATACTTTTACCTCAAAATTCACTAATTCGTCTTTTTTCCTTTCTCTCTTATTAACTTTATCATTTTGGAAACAAAACAAAGCACGCCCAGGTGAAATCAACTTTGATTCTTGGAAAAGTAAGTCAGCCTGCTTTTCCACTTAAAAAGCAAAAAAATTCTTTCTAGTTTGAGAAAGAAGCCGGATGATAGAAATTGACAGATAGGAAAGCCTTGAACCAGAAAGAGATCATGATAATAAATTTAAATTTTTGAATCCACTTGCCTTTACTAAAGTTAATTGATGATTCTCTACATCAATTTCTTGAAGAAATTACAACGATTTCAGTATTTTTTTTTTTTTTGCTCGCTTTGACAATGGCCGCACAGCCTCTGTGCACAAACTCTAATAATGAAAAAGTAAATTGCTGTGTGAACCTCCTCGGTAATAGCAGCGAACACAATTTCCCAAAAAACAAACTATAACTTTGTTTATTAATGGCACAACAGTTGGCCTAAAAATCATAAAATGCAAAATAATAAGTATTAAATGAGTAAATCAAGAATTTGGTTTAAGACGTAAAAAATTTTGCTGAAAACTTTATTTTACATTTAAATAAAAAAGTACAACTTTAATCATAAATTATAAAAAATTCAAATAATCTTCATTTAATCTATATAGCCATAAAAATCATAAAATGCAAAATACAAGAGGGCTCATTAATTAATGCCATTATTTCATTAATTAATGCCATTATTTCATGATTGATGCCATTATTTAATGAGTTCTCAGTCTCATATTGCTTACTTTCTAATGAATTAAACAATTAAGGACTCATTTTAAGCTTCTTAGTTTTTAAACATGGTCTTTACATTGCATTAACCGAACCTCAAGAAACCAACGATCTATTTAACAAATCTTTATTTGTGTCCATTCATGATGTTTTCCTCGTAAATTATTCTCTATACTACCTGTTGTATTTATTTAAAGCCTCTTTCGAATATTGTCTAATAGGAAGAGTGCATGTTTCAATAATTTCTCTGCCATGAAACTAATTTTTTTAAAACGAGTTTATGCTTTCTAGAATAACTCGCAAATGCTTAATTAATTCCAAGGGCACTTCTGTTATTTACGCTGCCTTTGCTGCACTCCTGAAAAATTTACGATCAAAGTTTAAGGTCGCATCCATACCATTTGTTCGATTTCAAGAATGCTTAAGGTGGTACACCACTAAAAATCACTTTTTCAATTTAAAATTCGAATAAAACAAAAAAACTAATACTTTTCTGATTATAAATTTATTAAAAAAAATATTTGAAATGAAATTTTTTTTCTAAAAGTTTTTTTTACATCCGTAATGGCGGAAAAACTGCTTTAAAAACGCATAAAATTGAATTTTGTGACGTGATATCTTCTGTTATATACATTTTCTTTAGTTCAAACTTAGTATATTGCTGCATTATAATGTTTTATTCCGGTTGACGGAT